CACATGCAATATATTGAATGCATCACATGTCACTATATTTAGATTGTTGCCGCTTGTTGAATAACTGAGTTTGTCTTCCAATTTGAAAAAAAACTGAAAAAGTAAGACATTCTCTAAGTCGGAGAAAAAGTGTGCCTATGTTAACCTATTGTAGCCTCACTTATTATAAAATATTACATATTTAGTTTTACGGATACTGCGAAAGTTCTCATAAAAACTTTTTTTTGGGCATGACTGCATTTTGGCAACTTTACTTCGAGGCTTGAAATTTCATTATTGGAGAGTTGATTCGCCAAGCATCAGTGAGCACTAGAAAGAGCAGAAAAAGTACTTCTAGATGATGTTTATGACGATGCCATCAGCGCAATACTCTAAGAAAGTAGCTGAGTTGAAACAAGGCAACTGAAAATTGGACAGAACTTTTGAATTAGCCTAGTATATGTCATTCAGTAGACTGAACCTCTTAGTTTCCATAAAAATGGTTCAGCCTATTCGCATTCATCTGTTTCAACAAAACAGTTGCCTAGGCACAACTAAAGATAGTGAAAGATTCAAACGGCTTGGTTAATGATTTCATTCTTTCAAATCTGTTGAGTTACTTCGAGTGGAATTCCTAAAGCGGAGCAACGACGAGCAGCGCTTTGTGCTAAAGAGAAAGATGACAATTTTTTTCGAGACAAAGTGAAACATGTTCAAGATGACCACCTCACAGGGTAGCCCAGGCACCATGTATACATAATTCCATAAACATTAAGGCGAGTGGTGTAGTGTACACTCTGGAAAAATTGGAAGTTTTTCTTTGAATAATCGAATAATCGGAAATTCAAAATATCGATTAACCGAGCTTCGGATATTTTCAAAAAAAATGTCGAACATCCGAATATCGAATAGTTCCCAAATCAAATATGTCGAAAATCAAATATCTTTTTTCGAATTTCGAAACAAGATTTTTTTTGGATTAGTCGAATATATTCAAGAAAAAAATTCCGAATAAATAAGTACCTTGTATCGACTATGTCGGATATTAAAACAGAAATTTGGTCGAATAGCATATGTAAGGATTCCATGTGTTATGCAACTTTAAAAACAAACTTAGCTGCGATAGAAGTCGAAAATGTGACGCATATTACTCAGTTGGTAGCAGATCCGGTTCTGCTCGGTCTACATTGGAACAGTATAGAGATCTGACCAATCTGACCTACTTTGAACATCAGTTTCCCGTTTTCCATTGTTAGGAGCGCAAAATCATTGAAGGTAAAATGCTCATTTCTGCATTAACACCTTCGATCAAAACTTGCTAATCATGAATACCAGTAGCCGTTATGGTCAATGTAATTGGCACTCGCTTATCGCTTCACAACAGCCAGTTCCCCAGCTGCATGCTCATTTACACTTGTACACGATGGCTTCTCAAGTTCTAGTGCAATCAGTGTTACCTCTTTTCTAAGCATTGTTGTGCTCAGGCTCTCTTTCAACATCTGAAAGACATTCTAAGAAGCCAAAACTTAACGAAAGGCTCGCGTGCTTTTGAATCTCTAACTGAGTATTTATTCCCTTCAGAAAGCTTTTGATCAAATAAAGTGATAAATTTGATTGATTTCGTGATCACATTCAGCCTACACTCCCATGCGAAAACGTGGTCTTGGAGAGACCGATTTGCAATAGAATGGAGGGTGATGAATGCAGGAAAAGGGCGCGAGCGCGAGGGACACAAGCAGCTAGAGTCACACAGTCATTCGATTGCGAGAAATTGTCAAATAATCGAATAACTATCGAAATATATATAAAGCAGAAAATCTGTGCGTTGTTTGTCTGTGCACATTTTCCGTAGTCATGAAGGATGAGCGGTGGAGCTCTTTCATGTGCTGTTCATCAAGATATGGTATGACGGTAGAAGCGTACCCAAGACGAGTCAAAATCAAAGGAAGGGCAAATTTCGCTAATGAGAAGAGTTTAGCCAGAAAAGTGGTCGAAAGTTTACTACATAACGAAAACGGCGCCAAAATGAATTGGTTGTGTAAATGGTCAACTTGCCAAGGTTCTAGCCAAGCGTTTGAGAAGATTTTCGCACAGAGATGTAGCTCACGGTTATCATTACCTTTATGGCGACTACCAAGCCATGACAAATCCAAAAACCTATTCAAATTTGCGTTTGTCTTCCTGCGAAAAGTTTCATCCACTCGAAATCACCGATCTCACGTGAAAAGACTTTCTAAATGAGTGGTTGTTTACATTTTATTCGTGGTAGTCGGCATAGCGCGGTGAGTTCCAGTGCCACGATTTTACGAGAATGAGTAAGGCGCATAGATAGTGGAGTGCGAACCTCTGCGAAGCAGAGGTGATGCACTGGTCTAATATATCCGAGATTTTGAATTTTCGAATAATCGGACTTTGCATGAATTTTATTCGAATACTTTATTCGAATACTCGAATAGTCATCCGATTCGATCCAAAGTATAATGTAGTGTAGCAGCTTTGCAATGCAAATGATGCGTAAATTCGCTTCCGTTTTCTCTAATAAGAAAAGGATACGCGGTACCGTGGCCATTTGGAATCCGGTGTATACCGTAAGATGCCCTCGCTGATTCCAAATCGTTTTCGATATCTGCGAAATGATATTCTGAGAAGATTAAACCTTTTATAGAAAATTTGCGTAATTTTGGGTAGTCAAAATTACATTACTTCTAGGTTACCCTTTGAAGCGTTTGACCTTGCAACCACGCAATCCATGGAACAAAATCACAACTCCATCTAGGTTTATCATTTCGAAATATGGAAGACAGTGTTCGAATCAACATGGAAGGCACATTTTTGATATACAAATTATTACGAATGGCGACGGTCACCAAGTATCCTTCCCATGCAAGTGCAAAGGAAATAACAGGCGTGAAATGACAAATGGACTATAAAAAAACTCGTATCAGTCTTACAAACTGGCAAGCTTTCGCACTGAAAGCAAAAAAATACAAAAAAAATAAGATGGATTTGTATGCCTAAGAAACAAATCGACTATAAAAACAAAACAAATCTACATCATCTATCTAATCATCTATCTACAAATCATCAGGTTCGATTTAAGTGAACCTGAAGGAATACGCGCATACCTCAATTTCTCCTCAACAGGTTGAAATAGAGTCCAAATCACAACATGGCTATTCACACCAGCCTACTAACTCATAATCATACGGCTAATTTTTTATTCTCAATCACATGTGGTGTTGCCTTTCCGATTCCAAGTCATAAATGCCTTACTTTCTATGTACAAATCTTCTGTCACATAGGGCACTTTATAGATGAGTGTAAGAACAAAACATAGATGACTGACTTCATCAGATGCTTTCAAATTTAACATTAAAGAGCAAAAGTGGCGAAAATTTTGGAAGTTACTTAATATGTTTTAGCAAAAATGGCTTATTTTTGATCGTTAATACTTATAATTCATCCTTGTGAAGGTTCAAATTACTTTTGCAAAAAAAAGTTCTTCCGAGGCCAAAGGTTTTGAAAAGCATCCTAAACACTTTTTCTTAGTGCGTAGCTAATCCACCAAAAATAATTCCCCCCTCCCTCTGAAAAATTTTTGGACCGCCATTGTATAGCAAATGGAGCTAATGATGAGATAAGCAAAAACCTTTTGCCTAGAAAAATCTTCCAGCCTATAATAAGACGATTTTATAAATTGCTTCTATTTTATGCTTAATCATATGAAAATCGATTAATCGATTTTTCCAGCGTTACCATCTAGCTCCTCATCATCTCAACTACAATCAACTACTACTAAGAATACCGTAAAAATGGAGTCGCCACAATTAAAAGTCGAAAATCTTCCAGAGCTAGGTGAGGATACTGCACTTTACAATGTGATCTTGCTACTGTATCAATACTGTAGTGGTACTATAACGGTACTGTAGTGAATCTGTAAGCATTTCTCTTGCGTATTCTTCTTAGGATTGGAAACACGCAAAAATTTCGGTTGACAAATTTTTATCTTCTTCTAAATTGTCATCTTTTTCCGTGTAGGTGTGTTTTTTTTATCTATGGTGTTTGATAGATTTACATAAAAGACTAGCTTTTTTCAACCAAAGTTGGTAAAACAGGTTTGATTTCTTACACTGTTATTTTTAATTTGCACGACTTTTTGCCTGCTTAGATGATAAGCAAACATGTTTTATAAATTGTCAAAGCTTACGTTCAAAAATCCCATAATCATTTTTTTGATTTACTCCACCATCATCAGCTCTGACTGATCGCTATCGACCTTTTCCGTCAACGGCGTTTTTTTTACTGACGTAATTCGCTTTTTTCCTCATGCGTCAAATCAAAAAAAAAATCGCGTTGAGTTCGCGACAAAAAACTCCGCGCGAAGGTTATTGTATCCCTTGTACTCTGGGACCATAAAAAAACAATGTGAAAAGCTCTGTTGAGAGGTAGGTCACAGCTTAATGCACGTTGTTCAGTTTTTACAGCACACCGAAGCCATTGGCTTCACCTACTTCGATATTCGAATGACAATTATTGGCTGTGTTACAACGAGCAAATCTTGTACAGCACTACGATACGTTTACATCACAAGGTGGGAGGAGCTTAAAGTTTGCTGATTCAAAAAAAAACTTTTTTCAGGAGGAGATGATATCAATCAAATTATGCAATGTGATGAAGGAAAATTTTTGGAAATTATGTCACTTGTAGGAATGCTTTCAAAACCGTTGCATGTCAGGCGGTTACAACAGCGTTGACAGTGAGTTTTCTTGATTTTTAGAACAACTTTTCACCAGTCATCGTTCAGTTTCCTACAGATGAGCTTGTTTTGAGGAGTTCTCAAAAGATTAAACGTCCTTTAACTTGGCCGCCATACAACAAATCGGTCCACCTCCTGTCTCACCATACGCCTTGAGTGGTCCTGATATGTCGTTTTTGATGCCAGGTAAGTTACTCTAATTTTTACAAAAAATCTCTACTCCGCAGAAAATGGGCCGCCTCACTGTAACTTCCAAAAAATCGATATGTCGATTGGCTTCTGCACAAACTGCAGGTTTTGCGGCAACGCTGTCGAATTTATCGTCGATGTTGCCAGGATTGGCTTCAACTTCGACAGAGACGACGTCGCCGCAGAATGGAAACGCCACCCACAACTCGGTACCGTTGGGTTAGTCTTTTGGGGGAATTTGGGTAACGGTTGTTTATAGTATTATGTAGACGTTATGAGCTCCTGCTTAGCTACCTGTATCCTATACTGCTCTTATTTTAAATTCTTTTCGAATAACTGAGCAAATGCAGCCCGTAAGACACGCAAGCTCAAGCGGACACAGTTCAGCGATCGAACTCTCCGCTGCTGTGCTCGGTACTATGGCCACTTCTGTCACAATCAGCAGCGGCGGTGGGGTCGGCTGAGGAAGCGGGGGGAACGCCTGTTTCCAGCACCGACTTCAGCTGCACAGGCACCGTCCCTGGAGGAACCGCCAATGTGGTACGCGGCGAATTTTTGCCGGCGAAGAGAAAGGGAGGTAGGTTGGACATGTGCCTTATAAAAAGCATAGGTTCAGAAGCGGATGAGTAAGACAATTTGCTTAAGTGAGGATTATGTCCTTTATGTAAACAACTGACTTTCGGATTTTGAGCAACATTGAAGTTCTGTCCGGGATTTCTTGACTAAGAAGCTCGTTAAACTGAGTGATCCCCTCGAAAGAACTTTGTAAGCTGAACTCATGTCATCTTCCCATGTTTCAACAGCAAGTTGAACAGTCAGAAGACTGTCGGTTTAAGTGCTACGGTCACTCCAAACTATGCCAATAAGCTGAAGGTAAGCCGTAATTTAAAGTGACGAGAAGAGTGAATCGGTCGAAATTCCTGTAAATTGCCCGTGAGTAAGGTACGAGACACCTAGTATCACATTCTTTTGCATACAAGAACGCGCAAAACTGCAAGACATCGGGGCTAAAAAGGTGAAGATCTATGAACAGTTGATTTCAGAGAGTTAACAAGGAAGCGGGTCTCCTTCTCATTTTGAAGAGTTTGTGTTTTTTTGAAAACTGCTCAAAACGAGAATTCGTTCAGTTATTTTTATTCGATTTTTGTTCAAACCATTTCATTCTTGAATTTTTGTACTTCTGTCATCTCATTTGCTAAGCGAAATCCTTGATAGTGGTCATCATCAATTTTGCGTTTGGGGCCAATAAAAGATTGTCCGACGCAGTAAGAATTTGCATGAGCCGATCTCGAACCAGATCCTGAGGGCTGAACCGATCACTTACCAGTTTGGTTTGCTAAGCGCTGTAACTTCTCTCAACAACACGCAAGATTTTTATGTTTACGAAGCCATCCGCATCCAACTCAACAGCTCGTTGGAAGCTGGACTGTGTCGTAAGTTCAACCGAACCCCGTCCCAGCCGAGCTGCTTTAGAGAGGATTAGGGCCAGATTGTTACAGCTTGAATTGACCTTATTCAAAAGAAAAAGTTCTACTGAAACGAGATTCTGGTTATATTATATAAATGATAAGGCAAGATAGGCGCAGAGGTTTGAAAAAGTTTGCAAGGATTCTCGAACTTTTAGCCTGGTATCAATGCTCGCAATAAGGATGAGCAGACGCACTTAGTTGCCATTATCAAGGACCCTTAATTCTAAATTCTGAATAAAAAAATTCCGCGGCTATGTCGGCTTTACGATATCAGATTTTCTTTACTGGTTGCGGACGAAAAAACTAAATGGCTGATGCCCTGCTGCCTCACTCTATACGATATGAATTACAGCTCTTGTCGTTGTTTTATTAGATTGTCTCATAAGTTTTTTTTTCAATTTTGACTTTTCAAAGCAATAATTTACACACTTCTCAGTTTTAATGAAGATGTAAGATAGTGTTTGATAGAGCAAAGCAAGCTCTATAAGACTGCGCGTAAGTGTTTGCACCAGCTTCAGTACATCACGAGAAGCCGAAATCTGAGAACTTCTGGATGCCAAAAAATTGAAAATTTTCTGTAACTTTGCCCGAAGCGAACTTACCAAATTCCAAACTCGCTCACGCATATACACTCCACAGAACACATTCATATGTGCCGTTGCTATGTTTGTTTGTGTGCTAGAAACTGAGAAAACCAAAATTTTCAAGCTTCCAAAAAAGCGATGCTGCGCTGTTTTCACACAGGTGAATGTAGACTACAGGCCTATAGAAGTACAATCACAGATTTCCAGCTTTCTATGAGTTCTAGTTCCCGAGAAATGTTAGTTTCAACATAAAATACCTTAGCAGAAAAAGCTAAATTCGATATTTCTCAAGAACTACCGCTTCTAGGAAGCTGAAAATTTAACGATGTATTACTGAAGGCCAGTAGTAGACGTTTACTTCTGTAAAACTGCGCAGCATCGCTTTTCTGGAAGCTCGAAAATTCTGGTTTTCTCGGTTTGTAGCACAGAAACAAACACAGCAATGGCACATATGAATGTATTATGTGAAGTGTATATGCGTGAGCGAGTTTGGAATCTCGTAAGTTTTCTAAGGAAAAAGCTATAGAAAATTTTCAATTTTTTGGGCATCCAAAAGTTCTCAGATTTTGGCTTCTAACTAGTGATGTGCTGAAGCTGGTGTGAACTCACTGCCATCTTGTAGAGCTTGCTTAGCTCTATCGAACGGTGCCCTACATCATAATCAAAATTGAGAAATGTGTGAATTATTGCTTTGAAAATCAAATTTGGAAAAAAAACTTATGAGAGAACCTAATAGATTGTTGTTGCTTATAAAGTAGCTAAGGGACGACATTTCTGAAGACAAAAGTGGGAAGTAAGCCAATTTCTTTTAAAAATTGTTATGCGAATAAATTCTCCTACGCCATCACTCGCTATAAAAATTCACTTAGGTAATTTTGTGTGTCAGCAGAGATTCCCTTTATAAAACATTCAAATTTTATTGTACCCTGGCAACTTGTTCAACGAGGCTTGGATTTTCGTAGTGAACGTATTTCATCGAGATTCATACGCAGAAGAGCAAAAGAAAAGAGCTTTCACATGGCTCCAACAGCGTTGACTGAAAACTCCTAAAAGGTAGCTGCTTTGAACGGCAGTTAGAAATCGGACAGAACTTTTGTAACAAACTAGTACAAAGCCTATTTCAAGCACAGCGGCAACCGCATAAAGTTTTATTTTTTCGAAACTATGAATTTGCACTTCATTGTCGTATCTTCAGGTCGTCCAGCCCTGTTTCAGTAGGAGGAGACTTCGTGTCCCTGGGAGATTATGATCCAAGTAAGCATTTCTTTTTATTTGAGCTGCTTGAAATGTAAAAGTAATTAGCTGAATTACTGTAATTTTGCTTAGGTACTGCTTTGTGCGATTCGCCAGTTCTGTCCGACGCGCAGATTCGTCGCCTTTCCAGCTGCGCAATGGCGATATGTCAGAAAATCCCACGACTGCCAACCAAAACTTGTATAAAATAAAAAGCGAGTTTCAAAGTGGGTTTGTTATACATATTCGTTGCAAATCATGTTGCGCATTAGATTTGCTGGAAATTTTATTTTCAAAATTTTGTTTGGTGAAGAGAAGCTTTGTACATTTGCTAGAGGCACGGGAACGAATAAAAAGAGAAGCGATAATTCCTTTTTCTGCAAAACGACTGCGGTAAAAGCCATTTGAACATAACGTTTCAGCATGTGGAGTCTTTCTCGCTTACGTTTGATCAACGAGTTGGCGAAATTTTCTGTCCAAATTTTGGGAAACTATCGCAACATTTTAGGAATTGGAGTCAGTGGTTTATCATAGTGCTTTTTTTCAGGGAGGTGCTCGATCTTCTTTCTGCTTCTGCCGACACGCCTAATCGCCTTTCCAAGTACCGCAGATATTCGGCACTTTATGGGCGATTTGATGCCAAGAGAAAACCGGACAAGGTTAGTTGCTTCTCGTTGATTTGTAGAGCGACAGCTACCTTTTATTTCAAAAAATATTGGTAAAGAAACTTTTTCAATCCTTGTTTGCCGTGACCGTTTCCTTCTAGGGTCTTTCGTTTCACGAGGTATCTGTGAATGAAGCTGCCGCTCAATTATGTTTGATAATGCCTTCACTTCTTACCAGACGTGATGAACTCTTTCTATTGGCACGGCAAGTTAAAGACAAAACTTTCGTCTTGCAAAAAATTTCACTGGTCGTCTTAGGTGGTCAAAGATGCCGGATATCATTATGCAAAGGCTAGTCGTAAGCGTGGATTTGACGTGGTTGATTCGCATTCGCCACAGAGCAGTCCTACACAAAGGTATCGTCTCAAATATGACTACCTTTTTGAAATTATGAGCAACTTTGCTAAGAAAGTCTCTGATCTTATGGGATTTAGCCCATGTCCTGGTGAGGATAATGACGCAGAAGCTGATGTGTTTTCAACAGCAAAGCAGTCAGAAGAAAAGAGGAAGAAGTCTGAAAGTGTAGGTGTTACAAAGCACTATACTATTTACCTAGCACTAGATAAGAATTAGAAACATTTCTATGCCTCATCCATAGCTAGAACATTAACCCGGCACTTAAACTCGGGTAGTGAACCAACCTCATATCAATGCACTACACTTCCCCCTTTTATCTATTCACAGCTTTTGGTACAGTTAGAAAGTTTTCTTCATAGAAAAGAGTTTTCATAGTTTTCTGTTGAAACTTGTAATCTTTAGCAATGTCCAGCAATTCTTATTTACGATACCGTCTACTCAAATTTACACAATTTCTAATTCCGGTCAAACAAAGGAGAAATTTAGATTTTAAATAGTTTGATGTGAAGGTCGTCTAATTTAAGCCCGCAAATGTTCACAATTTTCGCTATACGCGAATAAAATTTAGAAAAATGAATTCTTTGGGATCGTAACAAAACAAAGCATCAGGGTGGCTGCTGGAGACTGGCGAGCAAAAAGGCCATTTTCTTTCTTTTTACTGCAGAGTCGATTCTATGGTGAATGCGTAAAGCGATACATACTCCAAATTCTGCATGTTCGAAAGGGATTGCTTGAAGTTACAGCAAAAAATTCTGCAAGCTCTCAGCTGTTTCATATCTGCTAGCATATCCGGCTCCGTTCAGCTGCCAACACCATTGCGATAAAAATTATTATTCTTTGCCAACAACATCCCCCGTCTCTGTCCTTTTTATGCCATATTCTTTCTATGCTTTTGTAATCAACAAGACCTACCCCCTAAGATGTCGAACTGTTGAAACCTATCGATGCAGTGGGTTCCATATTGATCTCGTTAATATCATGTTTAGACACCGCCTCCTCCTCTGAAAACTCCCAGCCCATTACCTATCTCCACCCCCCTACACCAACATCCAGCTCCGTAACTCATAGTTTGCGGAAGAGCGATTAATTCGATGAAGGTTCGATAATCCTGAAATCTAGTAACATGTTCGTAATCAGCATGCTAGCTTAGCCCTGTGTCAGCTCCCAGCCATTTTACTCAAAGTTCGCGAAAAAAATCGTACAAAAATACATGCGTATTACAGACAGATAAACCAATAAACATTCAGCTTTGCATATAGAATGGGGACATTTACTATTTATAGCAGCACCTTGAGTCAGTTGATTATGATTGGTTGTTGACACATCTTATCGAAGTTACTATTTAAGGCGCAAGAGAAAAGCACGTATCTGGAGCGTTGGGCGAGCTCAATGCTCGCATCACAGCAGTCAGCATCAAACTCTCCCAGTGGCACGCAGTAAGAGGCTTAATGTATAAATCTACAAAATCATTGTCCTAGCCGCCTATGCATTCTATCCACTTCTTAATTATGCGTGCTTTGAATTATGTTTTTGCTCGTTTTTTTGTATCTGTTATATTCTTTTATGGCTTATTCAAATGGATTTCACATTGATTTGTATGACTTAAGTTTGACGCTGTCTGTCATCGTTGTGATATTACTGTATGTTCTCTAGTCCACTTGTTCCTAAAATTTTATTAAGGTATTTGTTATCGTTTATCTGCACTTACTCTTGTCTTCTTTTGTCGCGCCTATGTACTTTGCAAAATTTAGGGCATTGGTTCTAACCGCATGGTTTACCGATACCTCTAGATGCATGTTTGCATAGCTCCTACCAAGTAGGGTATCATCGACATATCTGCTGTTAAGCTTGGAGAATTGGTGCCGACGTATGCCGCTGACTCCCCTGCTTCTAAGTGGCCTCATGCTACTGTTGTCACCTGTGAAATCTATACACCACCGGGTGTCTTAGTCAGTTCTGAAATGATTACTTACTAGAAGTCGCTAGCGTCCACTTAATTTCGAAGATCATTCAGATCTGGCTATGATGACACACTCACAGAGGAGTTGATCTGAAAGATCCATGCTGATGGCGCTACATTCGTTACGTGGAGATGTCGCCACTATAATTTTTGTGTATTTGTTGACCAAATGCCCGAATTTGAAAAAAGCGGGAAGTTCATATGGTGAACTCAAATTTTGTCATTTCAATGAAGAAAGAAAGAGTTTTCTTTATGAAGTCGTGTAATTGCTGCTACTTTCATTGCTATCACTTTTGAGTAATTGATCGAAATTGCTGGGTGGGTTTATGTTTACATGTTTGCATCACTTAGTGAAAGCTGTGAAAGCAATGAATCAACAGCTACCTGAACTCTTCTCATTGTGACTAATACCGTGAGTTATTTGAAATCTCTTTTCAATTTCTCTTTCATTCATAAGTGCTTTCGCTCTCTGAAGAAAATGCATTCTTATTCTATACATTTTGACTTGATACTATCTTCCAGGAATTGTGTGTATGTGTGCATGTGTGTATTTACGTGTGTATGTGTATATGTGTGTATGTGTGTGTATGTGTGTATGTGTGTGTGTTCGTGTGTGTACGCCCGTCCAGAGCATGATGTGGAATTTACAAGCACAGGCGGAATTCTATTTAACTGATGCAGTAGAGAAATTGAACAAAGAGAAACACTTGCTGTTGCCATTTTTAGCATAGAAAACTGTTGCAACTGTCTTCACATGCAACTATCTCCAGACACTAGGAGACTTAGGGCCCTGAGCTACCTCGAGCGACGAAATCGTCGCGATTTTTGAATGCCACGCCCCCGAAGAGGCGATTATAAGCGACGACTAAGTCGCTCCTCGCCCGTCCGTTTTCATAGGTGTCTCTAACGTTATGTCGTGCAATTGCACAACGCTTCACAGGTCGTACATATTGTTCAAAAGTCCTCTTGCACATATGATGCGGACAACCAACCAACTGACGACTCACACCGTCTTAATATGTAAGTGGCTAATTATAAGAAGTTTCAAAACTTTTCGCTACATTTTTGGACTTTGCGACACAGTTCTCTAAGATATGCTTCGGTAGCGGCTAATGTGAGCAATGAGCAATGACGGGTTTCGAGATTTGTGAATTTCGCTTCTGTATTTCTTCCAAGTTCCAACAATACGACTGCTCGAAGGTAAAAGTAATTCGGTGTTGTATAAGTTTTGTGCACAAAGTTAAAGCTTCTTGAGCGCGCAAAAAAACGAAGAATCTTGTTCTGCAAATCTGTCTAGCTGAAGGTTTTGAATGACCTTGTAAGTCGAACATCATTTATCGTTAGTTTGGAAGAAAATAAGACTTTAAGGCTTAACCTACCCGCAAGCGGCAATGAGCACAAATTCTGAAGGCCAATAAAACTGTTTCTAAAACAAAGCACTATTAAGAGTTGTTGTAGAACGGAAACCTATCACTGTACTTGTGATTAGATGACTCACACACGCAAAGGGTTGAGTGGATTTTCTACAGCTCTCTACAGCTGACCTGAAAGAAGAAAAAGTCATAACGCGTCCGCAACAACAGGATACCTGATAAAATGCAGCTCAGGAGAGCGGCGCGACGGTCGCCCCGTCGCTCGCCACAAACGGGCGACACGATCGCGCCGATTCGGCAAAATCGCGACGATTTCGCCAAGTAAGCAATGCTCGTCGAAAAGCGTGAAGTGATTGTTGCGCCGAACAGTCATCACGAATGCGTTGGGACCCATGCACTCAATAGCACGGCGTGAAGCACTTGTCCAGCCTAGCAGGGAGTGATCAGAAGTTAACCCAGCCATACCAGACAAGCTATATATCGTCGGACTCGCCCTGAAACGGTGACCTCAAATATATGTTTTTTATCTGCCAAGCGACTATCTGACAGGAGTTAGAGCGTTTGAATGTGCAATTTGTCATAAGTTTTGTGGCTCATGTTCCACGAAATACGTTTCAAAAACACTTATTCAGGTTTTTGGCGAATGTGCTTCTTCCTTGTAACCGAGATAACCATAGTCACTGTAAATCCGCGTCATCAGGCTGCTTTGTAGCGAACCACATTCGTTGGAACTCAAATAATCCCTCATATTTGAACGCTCGTAACTCCTCCCTCCAGTCGCTTGGCGGATAAAAGACATATATTTTAAATCAGCGTTTTTAAAGGCAGCGTCCACTCAGAATTTGGCCTCCCATGTTTTCGTCATTCTGGGGCCTTTTCGTAACCCTGATTACAGTTCCGAACTTCAAAAAAGTCTCTAAAATTCACAAAAAACCGATTCATTGGGACCCTGTCTTGAGGGCGCGGACGAAATTCAGATCTCTCGTCCCCGTCGGCATGCCAGCGGGAGGAGCTGCAACTCCATGGGTGCAGTTGCAGCAGTGTACAGCTTCTGCTCACTACCATGTCAATACGTGTCGGGAGGCAGTCACTGGCTGGGCGGAGTCTGATATTACACTCCGCCCAGCCAGGGACTTCGATGCCCCTTATCTCCATTCAGAGATAACGTTGAAAGACCGTACCAACGCAGATGCCCTTTTCTGGGGCCTACATTCAGGATCGACACTAATCGGAGGGGTTAGGTTTAGCCTGGACGCCATTAAGGCGAGTCCGATGATATACAGCTTGCTTGGAATGGCTGGACGATCAAAAGAAAGAAAAGCCAAATAATCATTTTTGACTCTCCGTTTTCTATAGGAAAAAAAATTTCCAAGAGTTCTCAAGCTACACTACTATCTAGATAACGCTTTTCTAGTCATCTTTTAGAAAATAGTTTTCCCAAGTTGCTATTTTCTTACAATTCTTGTTCTCTATTTGACTCACTGGCGCTTCAGTTACGATTACGTATGAAATAGATTGGCGGGAACCATAATGCACTCATGGTGCACCTAAACTAAAAAAAACAACAAAAATTCAGAAAAACTTGAAAAACCAACCATCCATCCAAGCTAGCTACATGATAAAATAGGAATATAAGTATAAACAAGCTGAAGAGCCCTTAAGACGTGCACACTACTTCGCAGAAAGCTGCGAAATGTGGGAAATAATCTAAAAGAAAGAATCTGGATCTTACTTATTCTAAAATTCTGGTGACACGGTTTTTTGGGCGCCAGCGAACCCCCGGTAAGCTAGCTGGCTTGTCCCCGATAAAGCTTAATTTTAGAGGAAGCAAGATTGTGTCAACTATTAGATTATAAAAGTTCGTTCGCACCATTTTCAAAAATTCATAACTCTTCAAATTCTCAACCAATTTGTACGAACAGAATTCTGCGTAAAAGAGGAACTTATGCTCTTTGCATACGTACTTGAACTATTCGTTAATGTGTACAAATGATAGAGATAGAAGCTCAAACTCAAAATCACTCAAAATTTGAATTTTTCGTGTAGGGTCATAAAAAATCGGAAACTTGCAACAAAAATCGGAGCAGTCAGTATTGTAGATTCTTTCACCAGCTCTTTCTAACAGTGCAAAGTTTGCGCCGATTGAGCGGCTTTAAGAAAGTTATGATTTCCGAGCAAGCAATGCAAAAGGGCGAATTTGATTTATTTTGGCGTTTTTCAGGGAATTCATAACTCTTCACAGAGGCGCTCAATCGGCGCAAACTTTGCACTGTTAGAAAAAGCTATTGAAGGAATCTACAATACCGACTGCTTCGATTTTTGTTGCAAGTTTCCGATTTTTTATGACCCTACACGAAAAATTCAAATTTTGAGTGATTTTGAATTTGAGCTTCTATCTCTATCATTTGTACACATTAACGAATAGTTCAAGTACATGTGCAAAGAGCATGAGCTCCTCTCTTACGCAAATTTTTGTTCGTACAAATTGGTTGGGAATTTAAAGAGTTATGAATTTTTGAAAATGGTGCGAACGAACTTTCGGGACAACCTACTATAATAGATGAACTACCTACAAGAAAAACGGTCTAAGGTCTGGGGCTAGATCTGATCTGATCTAGATGCAACTTCTGTGATATTTCAGTTTTTATCCGTTTCAATTATAAGTTTTAGCAAATATTTAGGAAATACTAGCTGGCTTATCCGGCTCCGCTTGGCCCTGCCAAAAGACTATGATAAAGGTCCCATCCCCAAACCTGAACAACTTTTTCCTGTGCCTACTTCTACATGCCACCAATTCCCTGTTTCCGTTAGTAATCAGTGTTAGTAATCAGCATGCTCGCTTACCCCTGTGCCAACCCTAGCCCCGTAGCCTGAGCTCTGCAAAAAAGATAAAATCGATAAAATCGATACCGATCGATAACGAAAAGTAGCCTATGACATGCTCCCCCCCCGCGAAGTATATGTGTGCCAAGTTTGGTCCAAACCGATTCAGAAATAAAAATTTATTCCGCACATACGTAAACACATATATACAGACATTAGGGCGAAGGCATGACGAAGGGGCAGAAGCAGTATTGATTGAGCGGGCGCGAACGCGGCGCGCGCGAACCTTTACCGTTGTAAATTCTGCGCGTCATACGCTCTGCGGCTAATAAAGCCGCGTTCGCGCCCAAAGTATTGCGCCTTCGTCATGCAGCGACCTATACAGACAAACAAACAGACATTCAGCTTTATATATAAAATTATCCTTAAACTTTTGAACAGCGATATTATGAAGTACAATATAATATAAGCACAAGTCGGGATCGTATAGGTTCACAACAAGAGGTGAACGTCATGGTTTGGGCAACATAACTCGTACAGAGAACCGTTGGATACGAAGTGCACAGTCTGTGCGATGCGATGGTTGAGTATCACATTATCGTATGGTAAAAATACTGAATTAGTAATCAGACAACGCGCGACTCTGAGGATTGAAGAATGTGAGAGAAATTCTATAAAGGTAATATAATAAAGGTCCCATCCCCAAACCTGAACAACTTTTTCCTGTGCCTACTTCTACATGCCAATTCCCTGTTTAATTTTTTTTAATTTTTTAAATTTTCATTACTAACATGCCGGTATAGTTCTAGAAAAAAGACCTTATGTCAAGGACTTGGGAGTAATTTTTAGCCCATCTCTGAAACCTGACTTACAGATCAAAGCCGTTATTTCCCGTGCAATTTCTGTTACCTATCTCATATATCGTAGCACCATCGATGACCCTAAGATACTTTTAAAACTTTACAGAGCTTGTGTTATCCCCATTCTAAAGTATGCAAATCAGGTGTGGAACCCCTCTCTAGTGAAGCACAAACAATCTCTGGAGAACGTTCAGAAAGTTTTCACACGACTTCTGTTTTACCGTTGCTTTCCCAGTCCAAACTATCGCTAATCACTTCCTAATTATGAAGAACGCTTGAAAAAACTTAGTCTCAAAAGCCTCTCTTACCGTAGAGTTGAACACGACCTTGTACTTGCTTTCAGGATTTTCATAGGAGAGACCATATTAAGACCTTCCAAATACTGGGTATTCAGACCCACATACGGAAGGATCAGTTCTTTTTCTATTTGTCATCAGCGAATCGGTGGGCGAAAGAAATCAACGTTATCAAATTACGACTTTTTCCAACGTGTGATAAACCTGGTACAAAAACTACCTAATGAAGTTCTATCATGCACTAATAGCAGCTCTTTCAAAAATAAACTAAAAACACTGAGATTAAATGAAATTTACAGATAGTGCTAGTCCGACATCTGTTTTTCCATGATCAGGTGGCCATGTGCGATTGACGTGCGATTGAATTTTTGAATCGACTTCAAATCAAGACCAAATACGGCCATTGATACTTGTCTTTCTACCAATACTATTTGCTTTCTACATTTCTTACTAATCCATATCATGTCATCATGTTAGTGCAGGTCTGAACAACGATTGCTTCCTTTCAATTCAGCAAAGCTTGCTGACTTGCTCTAGTTGAGTTAATAAGTGGAATTCTATTGATATTCTCTCGGAGCATTGGTCTCTCCCCGGAATCATTTGGGCAAGGTTATTTGCTACTCTACCGACCAAGCCCTGCTTTGCTAACTTTACTACTTCAAGAGCATTTTGCTAGCAAACGAGTAGGCGTGAACACCACCTCCATAGCTTTCAACAACTGGCTGATCTTCTCGCTCACATATGATTCATTACAACCTTCCATATTATTCAAGATCAATCTTGAGTTAGTAAGCTCATCCTACTTGCCTCATATGGTGAGAGTATATCTACCATCCAAACCTAGGCTATAGAATATCTCAGAGACATTTTGCTGGCAATAATGGGGGCATGGGTACCATCTCCATGATCACACCTTTAGATTCTGACAAATGTAATCTAGAGCAGTCACATACAAGCTCAGTCAACATATAATTCTTAACCAATTTGAAAGTTTGGACCTAATCTTCATGGTAGACTTTGATTGCGGTTGTAAGAGTAACTCGCGTTCTTTTTGTTCTTTTTGTAAGGAACGCCAAGAGCGTATTTAATAAATAAATAAATAAATAAATAAATAAATTGTGCAAAGATTGGATGGATTGAGATAAAATACATACACGATGGCCACCATAATCGATTTGTTTTCGTTTGAGCAAAGGGAATGATTAGGCGTAGCACTGAGACATGATTTAGAAGGCAAAGTTGAGTTGACAGCAAGCAATTTTACTGAAAAGTACTGCGGAGTGCCGTTGACAAGTTTCTGATCACTGAGAACGCTTATTTTTACAGGAAAATACGTTATATTTGTGCACGAAGCCAGATACAACTTCATCAAAGCCAATGTTTTATACAATAAATCGTTAGCAATTCACTGTAAAACAATAAGAAGGGAAGGGAATGGCCTTACGTTTGGATTATAATGATTTTTCAGGTAACCGAACTATATTACAGCTGCAGCCTTAGTAAATATATCAAGACTTCCGTTAACGAAGAGACGAATTTGCCGCAGTTTTTTGTACTACTACAATATTAAAAAGCGATAGTTAGTGCTCAGTAGTATATTCACAAAGCCGCCTTTCCTCTACTGTATTAGGTTGGTAATAAAGTAGCATAGAAATACAAGATAGTTTTTATTTCGATGTGAGTACTGAGTGGATACGGTGTTCAACTAAAGGAACCAGCCTCATAAGATTATGGTAGGGATAATTATGGTCAGCATTTCTGTGTATACAGGCGAAAATTCTATAGCATAAGATTTCGACTTGACCCAGAACTCCATCTTCCAGGAACTTATGGCACTAGCACATGCTCGAAAAGTAGGCAAATAGTTCATACTTACAAGCAAAGGTTGTACAGGATTCGAGCCTATCTAACAAAGAAACGAGGTGATTGAAAAGTAACAAGCTCCCGCTCCAACACTGAATCCTTCCACTTGCTCAAATATGAGGTTCATGCATGGTGGAATACATATTGCATATTTTCGCTTATGTGTATGCATTAGATTTCAAGAAATAACATGATTACTCTGGGGTTATCCGAAAACTTTTTTACCAACCCAATGGTTGAGGTTCATAAACAAAGGTGAAGTATTTGTTAGGTTTAGGTGCGCATATTTCACGCATCAAAACGCGTACTCTGCAAATGAATTGTCATCCACATTCTTTGCAATGCTGACAGTGCGGGAGTTTCTTTTCCTGGTTGCATCATCTGTCTCACTATTTACGTGGGCGATCCATCGGACGTCATCACCATGCATGCTATCAAAGGAAAGCGATTGGCTGTCTTCTCGTGGTTTTGGCGGTGAGATAGTTTCCTCCGACTCGGGAATGACTGTTATATCCGGCTAAAGAGATTACAAGTTTATTACAGAACTGCGATCGCAGCCTATCAACTCAAACGAACCTTTTCTGCATATTGTACATTGTAGTAGTCTTTCTTACTGTCTAGCTTGAGATAATTATACTCTTCCGTGATTTCCTCAAGCTGAGCAGCCAACTTTTGTCGAATCGTTGAGAAATCCGGTCGTTTTTCCGGCTCAAAACGCCAACATTCGGCCATCACTTCGTAGCTGAAGGACACATACACTATTCGAAACAGTTAAAAAAAACGAATAACTTGCATGTTCGGGGCAATTGTCAGGACGCTCCATTCTTCTTCCGTTTTCGAGATAATTGAGCAGATCTTCGGGAGGAATTAAGGGATAGGGGGAACCCCCTAGTGTGATAATTTCGAAAAGCAGCACACCGAATGCCCACCTGAAATAATAGTTATGTTGTTTCCGATAAATATGATGCATATACTGCTCTGAATCCAAACAGTGATACGCAAGTTTTGAAGAAGTGGGTCATATGAATGAAATGTGCAATAATCGATGATTATACCAAAATGTGCTCGATCGTGAGTGCCCTTGATCTTTCATTAGTGCTCAACAACGCATTTTAGTTAGAACCGAATATTCGTGTTCGAATAATTTATTCGAAATTTTCGACTATTCGAATATTCGAATAGTCGAATATTCGAGAAAGTCCAATTATTCGATTAATCGAATAATCGAATAAATGAAAAAGGCCTGTATTCGAATAATTCGTTCATTCGATAATTTGGAAAAATGAATTGTTCGAATATTCGTTTATTCGAGCCAACTTGAAAGACAGAAATTTTTAAGAACATTCATTCAAACATTCCATGTCAAAGAAAAATTTCAACTGTTCTACACTGAGTACAAGTATGTCCCGATCGGTCAATCACACAAATGAATTATTAGGTTGTCTCGAAAGTTTTGTCCGTTTTTTTTAAACCACGCTAAAAACACGCTGAATAAGGATCTGAATAAGCTTCAACATGCGTTCGACGCAGCTTTTCCTTCTCTTTCTTATGGATACATTTTCGTACCATAATCTTGTATGCTTTTATTTGATAATTGCCAAAACTCGCCACCCGTCAATTTTATATGCTTAAACTTGGGCTAATTTATGAAAATTTCATTCCAAAGTATTGGGAAAGGTTAAGCATGGATCAGATAGCTCAACTCTCGGACTACAAGGCAGTATCTTTAGATTCTCTTAAGCTGCTGTTTTTAGCTTTAAGAAAAAATTTTTTGGGAGGTCTCGATTTATGGCCAAGTCATGAAACACGCAACTGCAGCAAATACACGAAAGCTTTCAAAGTTTCGGTGAATTGAAACATGATTCTTATTAGACATTATTTATGCAATGACCAAGTTTAATTTGCTTTGAAAAAGCAGATTTTTGGAATTTTCTGCACTTTTACGTGATAAACATAACCCAAGAATCGCGGTTTTTATTAGATAAATAATTATAACGGATTTGGTAAACGTCGCCTACATAACCTAAATTGGTGCAATATAGCCAAAGGATGGCTCGACATTACAATTACAGCGTTCTTTGAAAATGTCAAGGTAAAACTTTTCAAAATTTAAGAAATATTTGGGGTAACTGCTGAGCTGCTCAAAAAGCCATGGCAATAACATTGCAAAAACAGGGTAAGTCCAAAGCAAATATAGCTATAAGAAAGAGGATAAAAATCTGAATCAAATGGAACTTAAGGTGTCCATGGATTGGTGTTCTGTGAGTTTAAGCGAGCGTTGAAAAAAAAACAGACAAAACTTTCGGGACAACAGCAGAGGCTCACTGAGCCCCCAGTGCTAGTGTCGCGGATTCGCGACTTCCATCAAAGGAGGCCGCCGCCGCGCTGCGAAGGGGTCCCGAAAAGCTGTCCTCGCGCTGCTTCCGCCTTCCCATCGCTACCGCCGCAGCTTTGAAATCGGTCGTCAATTTCGTTACCTGGTGAGCGGTTGAATCCCAGTTTCGTCTCCCATGCTATCGATCGATGCAGCGCCGTCCCAACTCACGCGTCGTCTACATCCAACACGCCACGGAGGACAGGCAACCCCGCAAACGAGGTAACCCCGTGCGCGCTCGCGCCTGGCATACGCCGGCGACATCGCCAGGGGGGGTTTCCGATATTGTCGGCCCCTGGGGTAAGATCGGGCTGGTTGTGCTCACCCCTTGTGTTTGAGTTTAGGGATTAGTTGTGGATAAATGATGGGCACTTTACATGTGTGATTTGTTTGGTGCGGTGAGCCACAGCTCGCCTGTGGCTCCGGGAATATCTCGTGTCATCCATATGTATGTGTATCTTGTGATCATGCCTAGTGGGAAAGATCTGTTGAAGGCAGGCACAATCCTAGGTAGTGCCTAGGTTATAAGTTTGCCGATGCAGGAGAGCCGTAACACCACTGACATTAGGAGCTGGGGCCCAATCCGAGACAGCTAGTCTTAGAACTCACGCAATGCTGAACATTACGAAAAAGTTACAAACAACTACCCAATCCAAAAGGTTTTCCATGTTAAATCTTTAGCTTTGGGAAAAAGTTGTGAGGAAGAATAAACGCGGACTTAGAAGGATTACTAAGTAAGGGGTTAGTAGCCATCTTAAAAGACCATGAACACCTTGAACTACACGTTTGAGTGAAATTCTTCTGTTTCCTATTTGGAACCCTGACCAACGACAATAACCCAGTCAACTACCACTTGCTACACATATAATTATCAGCTACTAATTTGGATGAAATATAGCGATTAATTGTTTTTGCAGAATACCGCAACAATGAACAAAACAAGCATTGTTTGAGGCACTAGATTATTCGAATTATTCGAATAGTCGAATATTCGACCACATGTAATTATTCGATTATTCGAATAGTCGAATGTTCGACCGACCCCATTTATTCGAATATTCGTTCATTCGAATTTTGAAATGGAGCATTATTCTAATATTCGAATTCGAATAATCTGAAAATTACACATCGAATAATATTCGTTCGTTCGAATATTTTTCAAAAGCCGATTATTCGAAATTCATTCGTTCGACGAAATTTTTCGGTCGTTTCAACTATACAACGCATGCACGAAAAGAATGTTTACACATTCAAATTCTCAAGTACCCTATTTTTAGGTGTATTAGCCGCACCATTTTTGCTCTAAACGCGAGCAGACCCAGGCGTGCCGCCGCGCATATGTCTCGCGAAGCGGTCGCCTTATCGCATACCGCCCTCACTTAACGCGCTCCATGATGACAGTCAGTCTTTTCGCGTGTTCGCCTTTAGAGTGAAAAGGGTGCGGCTTATACACCTGGAAATAGGGTACCCGTTTTTACAAGTGAGCCTTCTATGCAGTTACTGTATTGAATATTTTAGATAAAATGTATAACTAATGATTACACATCACTCTGTGTCGAGAACTCATAATGTCGTATCGCCTCTGGTGACATCCACTTTAGCGGTAAACGTCCTCCCTGTATGAATCTTGTAATCTCAATATTCTCAGGACTGTCACGTGACATACCTTGCTTCTATAAAGTGAACTGTCCGAATACAAATTCCGGCAAAGTCCAAAGTCACCAATCTTGCAAGAGTTTTTCCCATTAACGAGTATATTTCTAGCCGCAATGTCACGATGGATAAATCCTCTGGTAGATAAGTACTCCTAAAAGATTCTATGAGGGAAAAAACTGTTTTTGCAGCACTTACAAGACCATAAGAAATCTGCACAGCAAACATCAACAATTGTTTCAAGGTGACTATCATATCGATGTTGTAGTTATCGCCCTCTGGATCATCATAGTTTATTCCTTGAGCATTGAGCTGTAGCATCAGATTTACTCAGTAATGTAAAAAAAATGAATGGAGACTTACTTTGATCATGTATTTGCAACGTTCTCGCAGAAAATTGAGTAGGTCACCATCGCTACAAAACTCGGCAACAAGGTAGAGAGGTTCGGATTCTGTGATACATGCCAGCATGTTGACTAGCCTAGAAATCGGGAACTGCAGCATGCATGCGACGGCTGCAGGTGATTAAGTCACTAGTAAATGCTTGCAAACTATTCGAAGTTAGACCCAGCTCACCCTGCATGTTCAAAGTAAGTTTTGCTGTTAACGTACTACTCTTTTTTGCTGCCCTCTGAAACACAGTATTAATTTTTGCTGCTTTTGTTCAGCATTCAAAGTTGGTGATTCATGATTCTTCCAAGAGAAAGTTATACCGGATGTGTCGAGTTGTTACTTGTACTTACCGAACCTAATGTGGGACCTCACGCATTACAACTTATTTATGTAAAAAAATAATTTCGTACCATCTGCCCGCATGGCTGAATTTTTGACTGGAGCTGTCTGCTAAGACCCATTACATACTTCGCGATTCAACCAAATCGCGACCTGCACGCGGCTGGCGATTGTCAGATGTTTCAAATATATCGTGCGCGGCTCTCAGATGCATAGGCGCTAGCTCTTTTAAATTGTTGCAAGCAGATAGTCATGCGCAAACGAAACGCTCTAACGACCAAATTATCCATAATCGTTGCAGTGCCCTATCGCGCAGCAGCTGAAATCGCATAAGGTATACCTTAGGCCTAACGTTACTACATCGTGGACAACTCACAGGAATCTAACTTCGCATGTTTAATTTTTTTTAACTCTAAAGAAGAAGCTAAGTGACTAAGTTTGCGTCTCGATCACAAGAGGTCGCTCTTAATTTTCGGCGTAAACAGCAATTGTACTACTCAAGTTTGAGCCCTACTACTCATCAAATTTAGCAACTCGTCATGCAACGCCTCGTGAGTTGCAGCCCGTAACATGACTATTAGTCCTTCTCATTGAGTAATTAGAGGTAATGTCCGACAAGGTGGGGGCTTTGGGGTTTCAGTGCCGTGCAAGAGTGGCGTCCCTCAGACAGCACCGTGCAAGTACGAGGTTACAACGTCCGACCTAAAGCAAGAAAGCGATCGGGTGAGGAAACTTACGCCCTAAGGCGGGATCCCTCGCCGAAAGGGACGGTCCCGCGCGGACATTTGGACAAACCGCGCGGCTTCACCAGTATTGCCTCATGCTAACTGTCTGCGTGGGTGGAGCCTATTGGCGTCCTAATGTCCTTTACCACTTAGGGGGACCGTCGAATTTCAAATTGTAAGGCTTTGGAAAATGCATGTTCTCGTCGTTTTCGCGCCTTCCAATGTGGATTTTCGGATTCAGCGTTGCGGATTACCTCCGGTAAGTGGACCCTCTGAAAATCGAGTTTTTGCCCGGATGCTGCCTTTACCAAGGCATACCTCCCGCGGTTTCGCGAATTCGCCACATCCTCGCGACTTGGCGATTTGCCATATGTTTACAGATTGAGCGTGCGCGGCTATCAGATGCATGGGCGCATAGATTTTGTAAGTTGTACCAGACGCAGCAGGTATGGCCCAAGCAAAGTGCGTTTAGGACCACTTATAAAGAGTTCTCGCAGTAGCAGATCGCACAGCGACTAACATCGCGTAAAGTATGCCTTAGGCCCTGAGCAGATTAAGTTGTTAGACAACATTGAAAGCGCTTTGCGCCTCAGATAAACACGCCGGTTGACGAATTTAGATCAAAGTTTGCAAGGTGCAAACTCAGATAACCGCCGGGGGCATGCGGCCATGCGAATTTTGAGCAAGCGCGCACCGGAAAAATATTTCGTTGATTTTTTGCGGCCCGCTTGCAGAAATTTGGAAGAAAGTTGGCAAAATTAAAGACGAATGCTTGAAGAACAATCGCGGTTTCTTTATGGATTAGCTGCGGCGCAGTGGCCGCATTCTCGCGGATTTTCCGCGAGAATATGCAAAAATTTCGAGGGCCGCACGTTCCTTTGTGGAGGACCGCGCAACCCCCAGGTACTTTCCGCTGAGAGAAAGTACCTCAAACTTGAGTAATTAAACCAACGGTGACACCTCTGCCACACAGAGTCTTACCTGCGCTCGACGTACGCCCGAAAATACCCAAAAAGAGTCCGAGCGCTTGCTGAAAGTTTGGCCAGCGCTCGCTGGAAGATATTATTTAACGAGCGCTTGCAGAAAATTCTGTATTGCTGCCCGCTGGCAGAACGCGGAAGTACCGCCCGCTGAAGGTTTGGCCACGCCCCAAAATTCTGCTGACCGCCTGCAGAAAAGCGCGAGTTTGCGGACCGCCTGCCCCCGGCGATTATCTGAGAAATGTGTTCATAAGTGCGTCCTAAGACGATGGTGGCAATACGCCCAAAATTTCCCCCTCGCCCACGCTTCGACATTGAAGTATAAATGCACTGAACTGCCAAAATACTAATTTCAAATTCCCATGAATACCCTTAATTTTATCATGGGAGCCTATTCATTTACACTCAAGGGTAACACTCGCTAAAAAAGGAATAGCGTTTACGAGTTTCCTTCCAGGCTCGAGGTGCACCGCGTTCTAAAAGAATGCGCTTTCCCTTATAATGCCTGCATTTTCAATTTTGTATTATAACACAAAGGAGCAAAAGAGTTTTGGAAACGCATTGTTTTTAGTACGTAAATATATTTGAGACCTTTGTTTTTTAATTTGTTTTTTGATTAAGATTTCGTGAACTGCAAGAAGGGTTCTTCAGACATCCCATGCCCGTTTCAAAAGTTGAGCGCAGTGACATCCTCAAATACACATATAGCGAACATCTGAGCTCTTTTCCCGACATGGTTAGATTTGGAGGAGTTTGAAATAAGTTTTCTGCTAGTTGCGAGTCAATCTACATAGTATAATAAAATCTATTTGTACAGGAAGCTTGAGAAGGGGTCTTAAAAAGTAGCAGAAAGGTTCAAACTACACATACATTTGATTGGAAAAAGAATAACCAGTAAAGTTGTAGTGAAGATTGACGCTTTGCTGATAAGGTGTGAGCAAAATTCTGCTTAAGAATACAACTTTTTGCTCATGCCGGAAGTACTCAACACTAATACGATACTTTACATTAGAATGTAATGAACTTCATTTAACTTTTTTTTCATATTTCTTTTCTAATCCATCACTAATCCAAAGCAAGCAAGAACAAAAAAAAAACTTGCGCGAATGTTAACTTCCCGCTTAAGAAAAAATATCTTCGTGATATCCATTTTTTTCATTAGACCAATCTCTCGCAAAAATTCGCTTCGAGACGCATCATCTGCAGATTCTGGTAACATTTTGACCGCCACCTAAATCAAAATTGGCAACCTATTCTTACATTCAAAAGCTAGCTTTAGAAGAAAGCATAAACACCGTACTTGAAGCACAGACCTGACAATTTTCCGCTCTCATTAGATTCACACCTAAAGTTGACTTGGAATCGCGGTTTGCTGGTGATTTACCAAGAAGTCTACCTTAACAGTGGTCATAAGGGTCAACTGGAAAACAAAAAGCGAACCATTTGCTGGAAGAAAGATTACAAGCGGTAATGTACTAGAGAAACACGAAGATATTTACACATATGTTGTACCGTACCGACCATAAATATAGTCAGGATTGAGCAAGAGGTGTGGCACACGCTCGCCGGATACGACCCCCCCCCCCCCGTTTCAATGCCCCCACCCCCCAGTATTATCATCTACCTACCTAAAGGTTGGGCCAAACTGCGCGACGTACGCTCCATATATTTATGCACATTTGCGTACGCTGCGTACGTCGCGTACTCCGCTTAAGCCGCAAAGTTTGGTCCTAGTAAATATTCGTCTTTAGCATGTTGAACAACCCTTGTGGATCAAGTTTTAGCGAATTCTGAGATTTCCAAATAATAGACCACTCAGTGAAATGGTCATTTTTAAACGTGGTCAAACTTGTTTCAAAGTTGAGTTAGCTAACTCTGTTTGCAATCAGTGCAAAGCACTATCTTTCTTCGCCCATTCGAGAAATCTTCAAATAATTGCGAAATTACGGAACTAAAAGCCAGTCAAAACCTCGAATGTCCTTTTTTTGTGCTTTCAGAATTTGGAAAACACCTAATCGTCGATTTCGCGTTGGAGAAAGAGGGAGAGGGAGGAGTAGTGGATATCTGGACTCAGCGTAGCAGACAAACCTTGTTTTATGTCGTCTCGTCTACTGTGCTTTTAAGATGTGACCGACATCGGTATTCCGTTTTCACAACATATTTCGCAGGATCAGGAGAATAGAATATTCGTACTAGCAAGTCAGACGAGACGTTGCTTGTGTCTGCTAACTTTTGGAAGAAGACTGCCCCTAAAGTGGACTTGAGTGGTCCGTAAAACTTTCGACGTGGTTTCGCCTATATCTTAACTGCGTAACAGACAACGCTTAGAGGCAGTGTCAAGGCAGATCCGGGCGCACTGGTAAGTGGGTTCTGATTAACGCACTGCCCAAGTTGAAGAGCAAACGATTCGTTCACGGCTAATCAATCCAATTCCTTCAATCCTGCGCCGTGACCGTAACTCGCGAGTGATTAAAGGAGGGTCTCAGCGCGTACGCAGCGCCAATAGGGTTGGAGTGAACTACGGTTAACTGTCACGTCGCAGGTCTTGAGAGTTGTGGAGATGGATTTCTCAGTCGTGAATGGACGATTTGCCGCTTGGGCAGTGCCTTGACTGAGCCTCCCCCGCTCTCTTCCGTTTCCACGGAAAAGGCTATGTGCCCAAGTTTGCCTGGACATTTTCGTGACGAGCTGATGGACCTCGGGGGAAAAATTCTTAGCTAATTGGTGACCTTCAAGGTTCCAAAGGCAGCACAACTGCTCTTCTTCTCTTATTGAGTTCTTTTCTCAGAATATTCTCCATGTTCATCGAACATCCATGATACACGTAAGAGGGCGTTCCCATATTAGGAGTGCCTTCCAATTCCCTTTCAGAATCTTTGAAAAGGATGTTCTCCATGAACTGAATCATACTCTAATTTATTCACAGTCCGTTCTTACTCCCTACTTCGTGTTCCTTCAGCATCGTTTTTGCGATTCTGCTCGAAAAGAGAACAATGTCATCCGCAAAACGAAGGTTCGGAAAGAATCTCTCATCAAATCGCGTGCCTTTCTCGTTCCAGTCCAGTGACTTCTTCACCCACTGCAACACCGCCTGTAAAAGCTTTGGCGAAATAGTGTCATCTTGTCGGACCCCCCCCCCTTCTCAGTTGAAATAGTTAAATGTCGATGAAATAGCTGCATCCTTGTTGTAAGTCCTTGTAGCAGTCGGCTAACGTCCTCACGTAAGCTGCTCCGCTCCTTGATCGAAAAGCGCTGACAGAATGGCGCTAGTTTCAACGCTGCCAGAAGCTTTCTCGTTGTCGACGAAAAATAAGGCAAGAGGCGATACTCCTGGCGAAGTTATACGTCCCTCAAAACGTCGCTTGTGATCCATGCAACAAAATCCAGTTTGTGATCAAAGGAAGTGTTTCGTTAAAATAATGGGTGATTCTATTGCAACGGCAGACCCCCAATTAATCTATCAGTAATAGTCTAGAACGGAGAAGCGCCTCTGAAAAGCCTTAAATCACCTGAAAGGTTTCTGAACGTTGCCCTTTCGTGCCCCTTTTCCCTTTCCCACACGATTACACCCAGCAAGAAAGAACATGGAAAGCCTTGAAGAAGGCTCATTCTCGCCATTTCCATGCGCCGCAAAGCCCAGACAATAGTTCAACATGACGAGCTGTTTAGGCGTGTTAGTAGAACAGATGAGTGTACGCTTAGCACCAAAATGTTGGTGCTCAGCGTACAGTCAAACAAAAAAAACACCAAAAAACTTCTAGTAGTTCCTATTGCATTGAAAAGCATAGAAATTCAAGGACGATACAACTTCCCAAGTGAGAGTACTCAAAACATATATTAAATTTGGATCAATCTAGTTTTTTCTTTGATTTTCACTACGGGACGACCAATGATATGTTGCCATTTGGTATTTCACATGGGACAATGAATGCAATAAGAATGAATAATTCATGCGAAAAATTCGAACACTTCCGCAAGTAAATAACGCATACATTCTAATCACTGTGATTTTTATATGTATGACTCTGTTTCAACCCTAACTTTCCTTTAAAGAAAATAATGTTGACAGAAAATTGCTTCTTATAGATGTAGTCATTAGCCCAACTTAGGAATTTTGAGAGTGATTGATAAGCAAACCTCACCCAAGTAAACTGCACCAAAAGCACCAGACCCAAGCTTTGCTTCGTCGTAAATTATCAGATTACGACGCTCGATTTCCCAAATGTCAGATCTGAAGTATGATGACTGAATAGGTGATTCCTACTTATTAACAGCAACGTACTGTCGAGGAAGATTGTAACGACTACCGTTCTCCCTTTGCGATAGCTTCAATCGGTAAATTTTGTTATCTCGTTTTTGCCTTTTGATGTAGCACCTTATAAAAATTATACCCACTATTGAAAAGAGAGCTACACCAGTTATGCCGATGATCACAGCTTCTTTGGTAGACGACCCTGAATCCATCGATAATGTTACTGATAATCTCACCATCTATCTTGTTCGTTAAACTTAACTCCTACCTTGCGTCTCGTCTAATGCCGAACTAACGTAAATTCTGTTTCCTTTCGGTTTAGAAGTGTTGTTTCCAAGTAAATCGGGAAACGCTCTGTTCGTAATATTTTTGATGGCACAAAAAATAATGCCATATGTTGTATCATAACGAATACCGGATAGCAAAATGCTGTTGTGACTTTCCTGGAAATAGCGTTGCCTCCAATTCCTCTGTGCATTCGACTAAAGAACGTTAAAGATATTCTCTTAGTTGCTCACCAAACAGTTTCCATTATCAAATTTCAAACAGTTGGTGGTAGCCTTGATGTTGCGGGTGAGGTTGACGACATCGATATTCTGGCAGCGCAGGAGCTATACGCGATAGATATAAAAGGGCTTACGAACATTGTCGTATGGTTCTCCTTGTCCATAAAAGGCTTTATAATAGAGCGTTGGTAGCTCCTCTCCCATGACCGGTTCGAATGTAACGTTTAGCCACAGAAGTTTTTTATTCGGCTCACCAGCATTGGTACTTTCTCTGTTACCTTCAAAAAGTCAGCGGTTTACAATTTTTGCAATTCACAGCATTCAATACCTCGTAATGAATTTTTTCAATAGGCCCACAAATCGGAGGCGTAGCTGCGTCTTCTGTACAGCGACTATTTTTTACGGTAGTACAGCCTGTTGAAGAAAAATGGTTTTCAAAAAGATATTTGATAGAAAGTAGCAAGCCTAGTTTTTTTTTATATTCACGTCTTTATAACTCTTTGACGACGACGCCTAATTAAGTATGGAAACGCTGTGGGACGACGATTTTGCACAGTACTTTCGGCGTGGGAGTTTTGTGGTTATTTACGAAATGCAAGCTTGTTGTGACAACTCGAGACATTTTCTTAACAAAGGAGCCTACAGTTTCCAAGAGAGTGTAAAAAATTGGTAAAAATATCAGTTTATGGAAAAAAACTAGACCAAAGGACATGACTTTGCAAGAAGTGTGGGCCCCGGTGGTCTACATCGTCGTCAACGGGTTGATAGTGCATTGCATAATAAGAGATTGTGATTTATGCACTTTGCTGATATGTAGACGATATTTAATAAATCAAAACGTCCCTTTGTCCACAAGAGAAGACTGGAAGCACGTAAAAAGTTTTAAGAAACACCTTAGTGCAAACTGACGCTTTGAAACCAGAAAATAAGCACGAATGCTGAAGAACAGAAAATTGCTAGCAGTTCGTACCACAGGTGCGATAAGGTGAGCATGACTTCTCCAGGGTGAAGGGGGTCACAGTCGTCGCAGTCCCTTCAGGGTGAAGGGTGTTTCAGTTGGTCGAGAAATCATAAAATGCCGACCGGGGGGGGGGGGGAGGGGAGAAGGCGATGGTGTTTTCTGATTTTCCAAATCAAAGTTTATCAATTTGAATTCTCTCTCATCACTGGTTGTCTTTTTACCAAAATGTGAAGACTGATAGGATTGGAGCAACCCTTTATGTTTCTAAAAATACCATAGAAGGTGTATGCGAGAACATCTGTTTTGAGAAAGATGTAGACATTTTTTAAGCATCTACGAATTTTCAAAAGAAGAAATTTGCAACTTCTGTAAGAACAGCAACGTCAGCAATGAAAAGGTTTTTATAACGATCTTGTCCTCCGCTTTCAGAAAGCTTCTGTAAAAACAGCAACGTCAGCAATGAAAAGGTTTTATAACGATCTTGTCCTCCGCTTTCAGAAAATATAATGAACGTCTGAAATCCATTCAAGAAGGTGCAGTGAACGGTTTGCCTAGTGACTTTTGGGGGTTTTTGGTTTTTTAATATAAAAAAATTCATAACTTCTGCTGATGAACGTATTGTACGCCGTGGTGGTCACCATTGGAACGTTCTCCTCCTACACTTTCAGAACATATATACTACGCTTAGAGTCCATTGAAAAAAGTGCCTGGGTGAAGGGTGTCCTAGTGATTGCTGGAGATTTTCAACTTTTTAACATAAAAAAAATACATAACTTTTGTAGATGAACATCTTGTACGCCGAGATAGTCACCATTGGAACCGTCTTGTCCTCCGCTTTCAGAAAGTATATACTTTGCCTGGGGTCCTTAAAAAAGTGACGGGTGAAGAGTGGGTGAGACTTTTATAATGGGGGTGCTCAAGTAGACGTCTTTTTACAATGGTAAAAAAGCCTGTACTTGAGCACTCCCATTATAAAAGTCTCACCCACCCTTCACCCGGCACTTTTTCTAATGGACCCCCGGCAAGGTATATTTTCTGAAAGCAGAGGACGAGACGGTTCCAACGGTGACCATCCCGGCGTGCAAGATGTACATCCAAAAAAGTCATGAATTTTTTATGATAAAAAATCGAGTATCTCCAAAAATCACCAAGCACACCCTTCACCCAAGCACTTTGATGGATCTTAAACATTCTGTATATTTTCTGAAAGCGGAGAACGAGGCAGTTCTAAGGGTGACTATCTCGCCGTGAAAGATGTTCAGCTAAAAAAGTTATGAATTTTTTTATGACAAAAAATCGAGTATCTTCAAAAATCACCAAGCACACCCTTCATCCAGGCACTTTTTCGACGGACACCAGGCAATGTATATATTTTCTGGAAGCAGAAAACGAGGCGGTTTCAATGGTAGCCATAACGGCATAAATTATGTTTATCTTCAGAAGTTACGGATTTTTCTATCCTAAAAACTCGAAAATATCCAGAAATCACTACCCACACTCTTCACCAGGCACTTTTTCAACAGACTCCAGGCAAACTATATATTCTCTAAAAGCGGAAGACAAGATGGTTTTGAAAATTTTCACCTTGCTGACGTTGCTGTTTATTACAGAAATCACGAATTTCTTTTTTGAAAAAAATTCGTAAATGCTTAAAAATTGTCTAACTCTTTCCGAAACAAATGTTCGCATGCACATCAACTATGGTAATTCCAAAACCAGGCAGGGCGATGTAAAAAAGGGAAAAGAGAATGCAAAAAAGTACAAGGTGCTGGTCAGAAATATAATTGTATGCTAATCCAGCAGCGTATCACTTCACATTTCAGAAAAAAAGACAAACAATGATGGTAGGGAATTGGAAATTATAAACTTTGACTGAAAAAAATGATGGTTCCCCCCCCCGTCGACATTTTACGATTTCTTCACCAAGTAAAACACCCTTCACCCTGGAGGGGTTGCGACCACTGTGACCCCTTCACCGGAGGAGTCATTCTCACCTTATCGCACCTGTGATTCTGAGCATTTCCTCGTTTGCAGATTGCGACGAAATTGCGTGAACTATGCCGCCCCTAAGAGAGCTGCAATAAATCGATTGCCCGGGGCTGCATCTCAAATATGAGATAAAAAAATCCAAATTCAAAGGGTTACGACCAAAAAAACTTAGATACTCATACATTTAGATGGCCCGTCTTCACGTGGCGTGCGGGCCCCCAGCACAAAAGTTGCCATTTGTCCCTGTTTTTCGCTTCAGATACCTACGATCTTCTCGGTTGCCGTCGTTGGCTGCGCCCAGTTCCAGGTGCGATAATCGTATCCAGCTGATTTCTCAGCTGGTCCATCCGTTCCACAAACATGCCTGCCCATTTCGTTGGTGGTCTTCCTCGGGGACGTTTGGCTTCGCGAGGAATCCAATCAGATGTTCTTAGTGTCCATCTGTCGTCTGTTTTTCTCATTATAAGACCGGCTCATCGGTGTTTCGCTTTCGCGTATTCCGCTAGGTCACGAAGACGGGACATGTTTCTTAAATCCGTACTGCGAAGTCCGACAAGGTGTTTTTGTGTCGGCTCATCTTCAGAAGACTGCGCTCAAGCACTCTGTGTGTGATTCGTAGAGCTTTCGACGTGGCTACAGTGTCGTGCCAAGTCTCAGCTGCGTAACAAGCGCTGGGAGAACGGTTGAGCCAAACAGGTAGGCACGAAGCTCCGGGTCGTCAGTGTCGATGGCTTCCTTCAGAGGCCCGAAGGCGGCCCAGGCTGCTTTTCTTCTCCTGTTAAGTTCTCTTCTCAAGTCCTTCTCCATGTTCATCGAACGTTCGAGATACACGTAAGAAAACGTCTCCATGATAGGGGTAAATTCCAGTTTCCAATTCCATTTCTGCATCTTCGCAAAGGACATTCCTCATGAACTGGGTCTTCTTCCGATATTCGCAGTCCTATCTTCTTCCCTACTTTGTTTAGTTCCTTCAGCATCGTCTCTGCTTCAGTGATACTGCTCGAAAAGAGAACGATGTCGCCCGCAAAACGAAGGTTGGACAGGAATCTCCCATCAACTCGTATGCCTCTCTCGTCCCAGTCCAGTGACTTCATCACCCACTTTAAGGCCGTGGTGAACAGCTTCGGCGAGATTATGTCGCCTTGTCGAACCCCCCTTTCCGATTGGGATGTTTAGGAGGATGGAACAGCTGCATCGTCGTTGTACAGTCGTTGTGGCAGTCGGTAACGTCCTTACTTCTAAGTCCACTCCTTGATCGACTAGCGCAGACAGGATGGCGTTGGTTTCGACGCTGTCGAAGGCTTTCTCATAGTCGACGAAGGTCAAAAGGAGAGGCAGTCGTACTTCCGACAAACATCTATGACCCTCGAAATAGTCTGGACATGGTCCGTGCAGCTGAATTCTTTGCGTAATCCAGCCTGTTCTTGGGGTTGAGCTTCATCCAGTGTTTTAGATATGCGAGTGAATCTCCACTGGTCGGGAATCCTTTCTCTGAAAAAAAGATGTCAGGTGCGATGCGAGAATTTCGTGTAGACGTTGTCCTCCGGCTCTCAGAAAGTCGACGGAAAGATTGTCTGTTCCTGGAGCCGTAGAAGTCTTCATGGTCTGAATCGCTGTGCGCACTTCAGCAGGGAGAATTCGTGGTGGTACTTCTCCAGCGGGAACAACGGGCATCGGGACGGGTGTTGATGAGCGGAAGAGGATGGTGTAGAAATTCTTCGCGATAGATTCCATCTGTATCGATAAGAAGTCGGAGTCCCGTCTTCGTTCAATGGTGCAGCCAGCTGTACGTGATATTCACAGAAGTCCCTTCGATATTTCTTGAGACTTCGTCATCCTTCGGCTGCTTCCAATATCTTGGCTTGCCTGTACTTCCTGAGACCCTCCTGAAAAAAATCCTGAGATCCGAATGCAACCCATCTCTCTCGAGATAGGTTGCATTCGGATCTCTCTCGAGATGGGGTGTATTCGGATCTTGTCTCAAAAATCTTCTTTTTTCGAGCAATCACTTGGTGGTCTTTGAAATACGTTCCAAGTTCCTCTCAGAAGTCACTGAGGCGCACTCTCCGCAGGCTCGCAATCCTTTCAGAAGCCGGTCGTAGTCGTACGCTGGGTCCTCCTCGATGGGCCAGTCACAACTTGATATGTGCTCTTCCTGTTACCCTCAAAAACGACTTCCTTCCTTCTTGCGGCACTGTGACAGACTTTCTTTTCCAGCTTTCGACTGAATTTGCTCGAAGGAGACGGTGATCGGAGCCACTGCAAAAGGATGGAACTACTGCGACGTCGAGCAAGCTTCACCTTCGGTTGGTGAGAATGTGGTTGACCTCCGCATGAGTTGTTCCGTTGGGCGGTTCTCAAGTCCACCGGCGATGTTCTTTCTTCATGAAAATGGAATTTCCACGTAAAAGTCGTGCGGCGAAGAGAAGCCCAACGTTGGTTGCAGTTTTTATTTCGGAGCCCAAACTTCCCGATTCTATATTCCCTATTCCTCTTCTAGTGGCATCCCGATCTTCGCATTGAAGTCGCCCACAACGAACTTGTGGAAGGACTTCTCGTTGCGGACGACTTGTCTTCGCAGAAACCATCTAGTTCTGAGTCGTCAGCTGCTGATGTTGGCGAGTAGCAGTTGATGATGTTGATGGTCTTCTGACGTGGAGGGCGTAGTCGTAGGGCTAGTCGAGGTGACAGGATCTCATATCGACAAGATGGGCGATAGATGGGTGGACGACAAAACCAACGCCTCCAACGTTTCGTGATGGAACCTTTTCACCACAAATGATGAGGGTCCCATTACTCATCTGTCGCACGTCCTTTTTACTGGACTTCGTTTCCTGCAGAGCGATGATGTGGTCTTGATGTGCTCCGCAGCACCGAGAAGAGCGTGGAGATCGGCGTTTGTGGAGACTGTCCTGGCGTTGTAGGTTCAGAGCATGAGGCAGTTTTCATGGCGTGTTGTTCGAACAGACGTGTCGTTTTAGTCCAATCCGAAAGGCGGCCTGAATACCCTGACATCGTTCTTGCTACCACCCGGCGTCGTAAGTGGGATCCGATGTGCAGGGTTTTCTCTTCTTTTTGCTGATCGAGTAATAAAAATTTCAATTTTCCCCTACAAGAGCAGACTTATTAGGCCAACTCTATATTTCCACGGGTAATCGCTGACCCGAACGTGGAGCGGGAAGGACCGCCTAGCAATTGGAAGAAGTTAGACGGCGGTGGATCTAATCGGCGATCAAAAGAAAGAGAAGCTAAATAATTAACATTTTTGATTTTGCATTTTCTATACCAAAAAATTTTCAAGAATTCCTAAGTTAGACTACTATCTGAATAACGCTTTTCTAGTCATCTTTTAAGGATCAATTTTTCCAAGGCAATATTTTCTCAAAATTCCTGCTCTCCATTTAACCTACTGGTAAACCTACATTCACGATTAGATATGAGATATATTGGCAGAAACCTACTTTTGTAATATTTCACTCAAAGTTTCTATTTGTGTTAATTACAACTTTTAGCAAATGTTTAGGATTTATTGTCCTCAAACTTTCAAACATCACATATTGTGGAGAACAATACAACATAAGCACGAAGCGGGATCGTATAGGTTCACAATAATGAAGAACAAGAGGTGACCGTCATGGTCTGAGCAACATAACTTGTACAGAAAACCGTTGAAAACAGAGCGCACAGTTTGTGCGATGGGATGCTTAAGTAGTATACCATCATGTGGTAAGAAACTGAACTCTTAGGGCCGCATGCACTAACATGGCCGCGGGGAGGGGATCGCAGCTTAAAAGAAAGTTTCATATTTCGAAACTCCAGATACTTGGATTTCACGTTGTGTACCTATCCGTAAATATTCCTACTACCCTTCACTATGAACATGTTGAACAGGAGCGAGAAGCTGTACAAAGCGCATTTTCCAGCTTTTGTATGATCCCTGATGATCCCCGGCGCTTTTCTTTATGGTCATTTTTCTTTCTCCGAAGTTAATGAAAAACTTCCAAAGTTGTGCAGATTATCTAATCCAACAGTGCTAAGCATGTTGCTGATGAGAACAAGTGATGTTTTGAAGTCATGAAACTTTCGATGATCCACAGGTCGAAATTTGAGGTATACCGAAAAATTCGATTTTTCAAAAATTCATTTGTTCTCATCAGCAACATGCTTAGCACTGTTGTGTTAGATGTTCAGTATAACTTTGGAAGGTTTTCGTTGTCTTCAGAGAAAGAAAAATGACTTTGAAGAATAGATGTTCGTCCCCCAGGGATCACCAGGGGATCCTACAAAAAGCTGGGAAATGCGGCTTGTACAGCTTCTCGCTTCTGCTCAATATGTTCATAGTGAAGGATGGTGGGAGTACTTACGGAGAGGTAGACAGCGTGAAATCCAGATATCCGGAGCTTCAGGATATGAAGCTTTCTTCTGAAGCTGCGATCCCCTCCCCAGCGGAAATGTTAGTGCATGCGGCCCTTAGTCAAACAACGCGCGACTCTGGGGATTGAAGAATGTGGGACAAATTGTGAATAGAGACAAAGAATGAATAGACTGAGATGAAAAAGGGACACAGTGGCTACCACAATCGACTTGTTCTCGAAGGGAATAATTAGGAGTAGCACTTGGACATGATTTTAGAAGACAAAATTCAGTTAACAGCAAATAATTTTACTTAAAAGTACTGCGGAATGCCGCTGATAAGTTCATGATCACTGAGGCAAGAGCTTACTTTTACAGGAGAATACGTTATAATTGTGCACGTATCCATATACAACATCATCAAAGACAACATTTCAAACAATAATTTGTTAGCAATTCACTGTAAAACAATAAGAAGGGAAGGGAATGGCCTTACATTTGGATTGCACTATTATAGAAATTTTCCAGGTAGTCGCGCTATTTTACACCTGCAGCCTTAGTAAACATATCAAGACTTGCGTTTCTATGAACGAAGAGACGAATTTGCCGAAGCTTTTGGACTGCTGCAATATTGAAAAGCGATAGTCAGTGCTCCGTAGTGATTTCACGAAGCCGCCTTTCCTCTACAGTATTAGGTTGGTAATAAAGTACTAGCATAAGAATACAGGAGAGTTGTTATTTTGATGTGAGTACTGAGTAGATACGGTGTTTAGCTAAAGCAAACAAGCCTTATAAGAAGTAGGAACAAACATGGTCAACACCTCTTGTGAGTATAGGAGGAAATTCGATAACATAAACCTTCAAACTGACCCAGAACTCCATCTTTCAGGTTATGACACTCGCACATGCTTCAGAAGTAAGCATATAGTTACATACTTACATGCAAAGGGTGTACAGAATTCAAGAATAACAAAGAAATGAGGTGGTTGAAAAGTAACAAACTCCCGCCTCGACATTATTTGGGAATACATTGCATATTTCCGCTCATGGTGTATGCATTAGATTCCAAGAAATAACATATTACGTTAGTGCAAAAGTTCTTGCGTAATTCAAAAAGAATCAATAACTTTTCAAATAGTAAACCTAAGCTCAATATCGTGAATATAATATGATCTAGTATCGTGAATATACCACAAGGTTTCCGCTTCATAACGGATGTTCAAGCGCAACATTCTACGAGTTGGCCACCGAAAACGAAGCTTGCAAAGATTCAAGATTTGCGAGTTTGCGTTTGGTGCCAGAAAATCGCGGAGGTCCGCTAGCTCGCCCAAAGAAATGTATAAAAATTTCTTACACGTCTAAAGTCTACAGATTATTTTGGAAGGCTTCATTCTCGAATGGAAACGCAAAAATAAAAAATTTATGAAAAAATTAATTTACACAAGAAACCCCCTTATCGCCAGAGTTTTTCCACGAAAACACAGTTTGGAACCAGAAATCACACTTAGTGCCTACTCAAAACACTGGACGCTTTTTGAAGCATCAAGCTGTGTTCTTCTAAAAAAACTGCGGCAACGGATTTTTCCTATAAAATGACATTTTTGATGAATGTTTTATTTTTGCATTTCCATAAGACATTGGAGCATTCTATACCAATAGCCTTGTAAGAAATTTTTATACATTTTTTGGGCGGCTAGCGTCCCTCTGCAATTTTCTACCGCCAAATTCAAAATCGCAAATTCTGAATAGCTATTTTTGAAGGCTTCGTTCACGGTGGCCAACTCGTAGAATGTACGGTCACACATCTGCTACGAAGCAAAACCTTGTGGCATATTAACAATAATAGATCATGAGCTTAAATTTAGTATTTGAAAAGTTACTGATTCTTGTTTGAATCACGCAAGATCTTTTGCTCCAACCTAATATTTAATCTGGGGTCGTCTGAAAACTTTCTTACCAACCTAATGGTTGAAGTTAACAAAGAGATAAGCAAAGGACGTATTTTTGGATTCAAATGAGCGTATTTTAACATCAGAGCGCGTATTTTGCGCATGAATTGTCGTCCACATTCTTTGCAATGCTGACAGTGCGGGAGTTTCTTTTTCTGGTCGCGTCATCTGTCTCACTATTAACGCGGGCGATCCATCGGACGTCATCACCATGCATGCTATCGAAGGAAAGCGATTGGCTCCCTTCTCGTGGTTTTGGCGGTGAGATAGTTTCCTCCGACTCGGGAATGACTATTATATCCGGCTAAAGAGATTACAAGTTTATTACAGAATTGCGATCGCAGCCTATCAACTCAAACGAACCTTTTCTGCATATTGTACATTGTAGTAGTCTTTCTTACTGTCTAACTTGAGATAATTATACTCTTCCGTGATTTCCTCAAGCTGAGCAGCCAACTTTTGTCGAATCGTTAAGAAATCCGGTCGTTTTTCCGGCTCAAAACGCCAACATTCGGCCATCACTTCGTAGCTGAAGAACGCATACACTATTCGAAACAGTTTAAAAAAAACGAATAACTTGCAATTGTTCGGGGCAATTGTCAGGACGCTCCATTCTTCTCCCGTTTTCGAGATAATTGAGCAAATCTTCGGGAGGAATTAATGGATAGGGGGAACCCCCTAATGTGATAATTTCGAAAAGCAATATACCGAATGCCCACCTGCAATAATAGTTATTTTAGTTGTTTCCGATAATCTATCTATGATGCATGAGTATAAGTACTGCGAGTCCAAACAGTGATGTGCAAGTTTTGAAGAAGTGGATCATACGAATAAAATGTGCACCGCAATATTCAATAATCGATGATTATACCTAAATGTGCTTGATTGTGAGTGCCCTTGATCTTTCATTAATGCTCAACAACGCATGCACGAAAATAATTTTACACATTCATATTTTCAAAAATCCGCTTTTACAAGTGAACCTTCTATGTAGTTACTGTATTAAAAATTCTAGAATAAAATGTATAACTAATGATTACACATCACTCTGTGTCGAGAACTCATAATGTCGTATCGCCTCTGGTGACATCCACTTTAGCGGTAAACGTCCTCCCTGTATGAATCTTGTAATCTCAATATTCTCAGGACTGTCATGTGACATACCTTGCTTTTATAGAGTGAACTGTCCGAATACAAATTCCGGCAAAGTCCAAAGTCACCAATCTTGCAAGAGTTTTTCCCATTAACGAGTATATTTCTAGCCGCAATGTCACGATGGATAAATCCTCTGGTAGATAAGTACTCCTAAAAGACTTTATGAGACATAAAAACTGTTTCCGCAAATGTAAACTTACAAGACCATAAGAAATCTGCACAGCAAACATCAATAATTGTTTCAAGGTGACTATCATATCGATGTTATAGTTATCACCCTCTGGATCATCATAATTTATTCCTTGAGCATTGAGCTGTAGCATCAGATTTACTACTTACATCAGATCTAGTAATGTAAAAAAAATGAATGGAAACTTACTTTGATCATGTATTTGCAACGTTCTCGCAGAAAATTGAGTAGGTCACCGTCGCTACAAAGCTCGGCAACAAGGCAGAAAGGTTCGGATTCTGTGATACATGCCAACATGTTGACTAGCCTAAAAATCAGAATGTAGCATGCATGCGACGGCTGCAGGTGATTAAGTCACTAGTAAATGCTTGCAACCTGCATGTTCAGAATAAATTTTGACGTACTACTCTTTTCCGTTTGCCCTTATTTGACACACAAATTTATTTTTGTTGCTTTTGTTCAGCATTCAAAGTTGATAATTCATAATTCTTCCAAGAGAAAGTTATACCGGATGCGCCGAGTTGTTACTTGTACTCATGAACACTAATTTAGAACCTCACGCATTACAAGCTATTTATGTAAGAAAATAATTTCGTTCATCTGCTTGCATGGCTAGAATTTAGATTAGGGCTGTATGCTAAGGCATGCTGCATATCAACCAAATCGCGACCTTCACCGAACTGACGATTTGCCAAATGTCTACAAATATATCGTGCTTTTACAAGAGAATGATTCCAGATCGCAGTGACGAACCAAAACGCTAAATCGTTAGATTCGTCTCAATGAGCTGATTCCAAATCTACCTTTCTTATCTGCTAAGCGCTTCTCTAGAAGAAACTATGGGCGATGAAGATGTGAAGTTAATGGGGTTTTGATGAGTAATGTGCTTTGAAAACCAGCTTGGGAGTGTTTGAACGGCAGGGTTTTGAATGCAATGACTACAAAGAATGCATACATACACCGAACACATAAATAAGTGTTCCGTAACAACTAGTTCTTGAAAATGTGGCAGTGAGTCTTTGCCAAATTCGGATATTCAAACGCTCATAACTTTTTCTAGATAAGAGCTCAGCAGAATGGAAGCCAGATTTAGAACCAGCTCATCAAGACGCATCTAATGATATGCAAACCGTTCCAGATCGCCATTGCGATCTGGTATCCTTCCCTTGTTAGACGCATAAGCGCGCAGCTCTTGTAAGTTGTTGCAAAAGGAGCAAGTCATTCTCAAACAAAACCCTCTGACGACCAATTATCCATAGTTGCTGCAGTGCCGAATCGTGCAGCGAAATCGCATAGGGTGTGCCTTAAGCTCAAAGGGCCGGGCATACTTCACGCGACTTCAGCCCCGACGCGATTTGGCAATTCGCCAGAAGCCTTCAGATCCAACACTAGCAAACTGCAAAGCATAGTGTGTATAACTTACGTGGAGTGATAAAATGCCCTATTTTCTGTACATTCAAACTGTGCTTACAATGAGTTATAGATAATTGGAATATCGCCAGATCGCGCCCGACTGACGTGAAGTATGCCCTGCCCTTAACGCTCTACCTTGTAAACGACTCACGAAGAATCTAATTTCATATATCCGATTTTTCAGCCTCTAGAGAAGAAGCTAACTGACTAAGTGCGAGTCTCGATCATCGTTCTTTAACTTTCGGCGTACACAAAAATCGTACTACTCAAATTTTTTTGCCCTACTATTCATCAAATTTTAGCAACTTTTCATGCAACGTTTCGTGAGTTGCAGATCCGTAACATGCCTGATTAGTCACTTCTCAATAAGTAATTAAGCAGTTTGAGTTGCTTGCCGACGTTAAAAGCGCTTTTCACCTCAGATAAAGTGCCGTTTGACAATTTAGAGTAAAGTTTGCAAGATGTCTATGTGTTCGCAAGTGCGCCCTAAGACGATGCTGGCAATACGATCATGATGAGGAATAAACACACAGTGAACAGACCTTTGATAGCTATCCGGTATCACATTACCCAAAATTCACTCCCCGCCCATGCTTCGCTATTGAAGTATAAATGCAGTAATTGCCAAAAAGGCCAATTTTCACGAATACTTTTGAGCTTATCACAGGAGCTTAGCTGATAGTTACATACAAGGGTAGCAATCGCATTTCAAAAATGAATAGCTTTGACGAGTTTCCTTCCATGTTCTGCACTGAGTTCAATGAGAACGCGCGCTCCCTCATGATGCCTGAATTTTGAATTCTATTCTGAGTTCTAACACAAGGCGCAAACAAGTCAAAACGGATTGTTTTTGTACAAATATTAGATGAAAACTCTCGTTTTTTTTCATTGAGATTTTCTGAACTGCGAGGAAGGTTCCTTCAGATAGCCCACGCTCGTTACGAACTTGAGCGCCGATAGATTCTCAATACACATGCACGTTTCACTTTTCCCGACATGACGGTCAGCTTTGGAGGAGTGTCGAGACGAATTTTTTTGCTGCATGTCAATCTACACTGTATGATAGAATATTTGTACTAGCGACCCTTCGGGTCGCTATAAGTGGGTTGGGGCAAGAATTAGCAGGTGCTTAGTGAGATTGTGAATCTACACTACGTTTTCATTTATTTTGTTCATAAAAGTTTGATACATAAATGTTCAGCTTCGAAGATATACGCAAGATTAACGAAGTTTTTGTGCGAAAAAAGTGGAAAGTATGAAAAGTTGCTATAGCTCTTCTTGTTTAGTTAAACGACCAGCAAGCACTTCTCAAAGGGAGCCCAAATAGTTCCAAATTTGCACTACCAACGAGATCACTGTTTCTTTGCAAGGTCGTATTTCCGAGACAAAAACGCATTTTCTGCAGTAAAAGTGCCTCCTAATTCGAGATCATCACAAAATCGTCATAAAAAGATTTTTTAATACTCAGCTTCAAAGGATTTCGATTATACTACAGCGAGACCACAGTTTTCTTGCAGAGTTTTTTTTTGAAAAAGTTCATTTCCTGCATTTCAGAAAATTTCCATGGAAGATAAGAGTTGCTTTCAAAATATTAGGCTGTAAACTAGTTTTGCAACTGATTTCATAACTCCCAATATGAGGCGACATAATTTTTTTGCCATTGTGTAGGTTATTACATAAGCTACAAGCGGCTGCTATTATGCTAAATTCTGACGTCACAATGACGGTTATAGGTATATGGTATGAAGGGGAAAAACTCAAAGTTTGACGGATTTGGCTGAAATTTGGCATAGGGGTTTATCCGACATGCTGATCACGAAAACAATAGTGAATTGCGTGATAAAGGCTTTTTGTAAGGTTACTGTAGGTTTACAATACAGGGTCACACCCTAAGCAAGGAAAGAGGCGTTGATATAGCAAATGAATATGATATTCGCGTTCGGCAAGTCAAATAACTTTAAAATGTTAAGTCTCGGCGGAACTTGAGCTTCGAACCCTTTAGTCATTGAGGTCGTCCCCAGCAGCTCTTGCTTACATCTCGAGTCTCGACTTTGTGAGGACGCCAAATCTCGACATGCCCCTAAATTTTGTTTCTTTCTTAATAGGCCAAAGGAGTCAGCTTCCAGCAATAATTTGTAGACGAATCCGGATTACTGCGCTTGGTATAGGCTGCTAAAGGCTTCATTTTAGCTTGAAACCCAAAAATTCTCAAATCGCTAGTTTTCGAAAAACGACTCAAACTTTTCTATTTCGTGTTCAAAATTTAGATGATTTGCGCGTACTTGTAGCACACATTACTTTCTACATAATGCCAAAGTTTTAGTGCGCCATATCCAAAGAGAGTGAAGTTATGAAACCAGTTGCAAAAATAGTTTAGAGCTTGATAATTGGCCTGCAAAGCTTTGACCATACCAGCGAGACCACAGTTTGCTTGCAGTCTTCTTTTCGAAAAAAGCGCATTTTCTGCATTTCAGAAAATTTCCCTAAAACATAAGAGTTGCTTTCAAAATATTAGTTTGGTGCAAAAGTAATGCGCGTTTTTCTAGCTCTTGTTTCGATAGGTTTTCTCCATCGAAGTTTCTCCTATGAAACTTACCCACCATACTGTCAAGAAGCTTCTTTCATGCTCTATTCAACGGTGGTTGAAAGAAGCTCTTAGCCTCATTCACTAAAAATTTATAAAGCTTCAAACAACGCACTTAAAACCAGAATCTCATTGCACTTACTTTTTCGGCCACAATTCAAGCGCGAGTAAAGGCATTCTTTTGGAAATTTAACTGCTGTATGTAGTGGAAATTTTCTACGTTATGCACGCTTTACTGTTTTCCCAGAAATTACTTAGACTGAGATCTCGGCGCCTCAACATGAGTGATGGTTTTGGCCATTCTGTGCCCCATAGATTTCCTTTGAAGAGGGCAATCGCCAAAGTTTTGCTCGTTTCTATAAGCGTGAGGGTGGGCCTCCTACTGACAGTAAGTTAAATGCTTCTTTGTCTTTGAATCTGGGCATGATAAGATGTCAGTAGAGTAATTGTGTCAGTATTTTGTACCTTCAGATTCTATGGTGGAGACTTTATTGACCTTACGTTTCGACAATGTCGCCGTCATCAGGGGGTCTGAAAACGGATTGTAGGCTCTAGAACCCTCAAGGCCACGAAACGAACGAACCTCGACTCCACCGGTTAGCGACAAGCCCGCACATATGGTCGTAACGGACGTCACTGAGTGTCACCCCCCCCCCCCAATGAGTCAAGTTCTTTTATGTGCAACGCTAAGCCCGCATAATGACATGAATGGAGCTAAGTCACTACTGATAGACAAGCACTCATTTTTGACGTTTATTTTAGGCTTTCTGACAGAAATCCACGCGGTTTCAAATAGTTTCTGGCGCAAATCTCAGTCTCGCATGTCAGTATTGTGCATTTGACTTCGCAATCATTTCCGCAGTGCTCCTCTATCTTGTGCCGTCCTAACGGTGCTGTTGGAGTCCCTCGTCTTTTATTCGCTAGATGCTCTTTCAACCGTACAGCTAGATTTCTACCCGTTTCTCCAATATAGCAGTCTTGGCAGCTGAGACATTCTAGTTCGTACACCACACCTGCCTTTGCACAATCTCCTATTCTGCCGTAGGGACAAACTATGCAATGCTCCATCATGCACTCATTATCATAGAGCCTGTTCCCCACCAACTGCTTCTTCAAACTGTCATTCGGGATGTTAACAAGCATGACATCTTCCTGCAGCTGGGCTCTACAAATGCATTGCTTAATCTGCCTACTAATTTCGTCTGAAATAAAGGGAATGCAAAGAGGGACCTTATCGCATTGCATTCGGATTAGCTTTGTGGAACGCGTACATAACCTACGTTGATGTTCTTGTAGCACA